AAACGGCACGTGATAGAACCCGTTTTATCTTGAAAAAAATATAGAGAGTTAGCTGTAGGTAATGAAATAATCCATTGCTTCTGAATTCTTAAAGGACAGCAGTTGTGTTTAAGGTCCAATTTTTCTCTACAAAAAAGCAATTGGCTTTTCCGACTAAATATTGATGATGCCTGAATGCCTGAAAAATATAATTCAAAGGTCCATTGATGATATAACTGAAAAACCTAGAAAAAAATTGTCGCCAAACTCGACATCACGTACATAAGCATTCATCTTCAATTTACATTTCAAGTTCCGCTATTTTGGTAAAACAACACGCCTGATCGTCAAATAGTCAGCTCCAAAATTCAAAGGTCAAAATAATTCTTTCGCATAATGAAGCACTCACGTCAAAGTATAAATTGCTCCCCTTTAATAGATCCTTCTGGTCGCCTTCGATTCAAGGTATTTATAACCATTATTTCTGAAATCTACTTTATAAGCAAACGCATCATCATAATTGATGGAAATCAGCTATCTGTTTCTCCTCAAAAAATTTGGTTATCAATGTATGGGTCGTCTGAAAGCAATTGAACAATGCTGTCTCAAAAATTTTATCGCTACTTCGCAGATCGAACTAAGTTACGTCTTGCAATATAAATCTGGGCGAAATTGTCTGAAGTGATGGCTTTTTCGGACACTATTATGTAAAGATTGCGCCAAATGTTGGAATTTCAGTTAACCTTTTTGATCACAAGAGCCATTCACATAAAAGCCAAATTTTTGAGTTATTTTGGGTTGAAAGATCGATCGCAATGCGTAGAACTTCGTCATGTTTCTTGTCAAACTATGTATTTAACTGTACGCCGCAGAGAAGAGAGAGAGAGAGAGAGAGAGAGAGAAAGTTAGACAGACAGACAGTCTGAGAGAGGGAAGAGAGAAGAGAGAGGGAGGGAGAGAGAGAGAGAGAGAAAGAGAGAGAGAGAGAATAGAATAATTAAGGTCTGATCTCGGCTGAGGCCTTTATTTTTGACATCAAGCCTTATTAAAAATATTGATAATTGTTTGCATTGAAATATTAATTTAAACCTTGAACAGAGGTAATGTCGGAAAGATGTTGTAGAAGAGGAGTGCAAAAACTTGAAATATATTTTTTGGAAAGGTCAAATAAGCAGGTGACAGTAAAGATTGTTATTGAAAAAAAACTACCACTAAACTTTTGACGCTTGACAATTCTGAACAAGTGATACGTTTAAGAAACACTGTTCTAAAACAAATCTAATATAAATATTCCCAAAACTTTTGTTAAAGGTTACGTTGGCGTGATAGTGTGGTTATTGAAAGCTAAACAGATAATTTTCGTCGTTTAAACGGTGCGGTGCTAGGATAAAAGGGTCTGATCTACAGTAAGGCTGTTCGTGACTGTAAACAAAGCGAAAACATTGGAACATTTTAGGAATTATTCGAACACTCTGAAGCACAAAATTGATTTTCAAAAAACTTGAGAGCAATTTTTGTCATAAAAAGTTTGGATTGGGGTCTTCTAGGGTATTTGGTACTAGATTACTGGGTATCTGAAAGCTCTTGTCGATTTCTAATTTTTCAAAAATAAGAAGACATGAAACTGAGAAAACAAGATCGGGGTTAAAAAGTGCCTGACTCTATCCGGCCTAAACAGATAGCATGACAGTCAACCGGTATATTCAAATTGTTACTATTGACAAATTATGTGTAGATATACCAAATTCGGACATGTTTTATCAGACACGGCAAACACAGTTCGAAAAGACCACAAAAAGTAGAAAACTCCAAAAACTCGAGTTCAAAAATTTTAATGAACCCAGGTTAAAAAAATTACATTTAAAAAAAGTCCACGCAGCATTGCTTCTAAATCAGACATAAGCGAAATTGCGAAACAATTTCAGTGAAACTTTAATCAAATAAACATGTTCTTACAAAACGGAAGAAAAAATCGAATCCGCCAAAAATTTTCTAAAAAAGATAGATATTTATCGCGTAAAATTTTTTAAAATAGTTCGAAGATCCCAAATTTTTATTTTTTAAATATTATGTTCCGACCTTTGAAAAAATAGACTGAAAACTTGTGCTCGGACGTTTTTTGTCTCTAGACATCTGGCGACATTTTCTTTAGCCTTTTTCGACAATTTGGTGCAATCGAGTGTGGGATGACTTCGCACTCAAGAGCATAAGAGGTAAAAACAACTCACTGTCAACAAAACAATATGTTGGATCGTGGAAAGGCTTGCACGTAGCAGAAGAATTTCTCGCGCCGCAAATTGACTGAAGAAATTCATCATACCACGTTCTGCCTTGTAGAGCAGTACAATAATTGCGAGTCCGTTTGTGGATCATTTTATCAACTGTCAACATTTTCTTGATGTAGGTACTTTCACATTTGTTATACTTTGTCAGCCCTAATACCAACAGAGTTGTATTATTATTGTGATTATTTGAGAATGGTTACTTTTGTGAAATAAAATATTTCAGGTTTTTAGGATGTATCACTTTTATACAAAAAATTTGGAAGCCGTACTGAAAAAGTGCATTGCGGCCATCTTTTTATCTCGATTTCTCGGTGACTATAGTAAAAAATGTTATATCAGTCAGATTTTACGGAATCAGAAAAAAAACAGTAATAGTTTCAAAAGACTGCTCTAAATTCAACTCCTCAAAGTGGCATGAAAATTTTGCGCGGATTCAGCAAAAATTTCGACTAGTCTCGAGACAGGGAGAATACTAAGATTTTTGGACAACGCAAACCAAAGTCGAGTTAATTTTTTGTTATAAAATGACTTCAACGTGAATAAAGTTGTTCAATGTGTAGAAAACTTAAAAAAATTTAAGGTTCCAAAAAAAATTACCAAGAGCGAAACGTGAGAATAGGATAAAAATAACATAAGTTTCATTACATTTCAGACTAGATTATGTCTGCATTTGATTTGTCTTTAATAAGTTCTGCTCCCAATAGTTCATAATTTCGTTCGTTAAAGTGTTATAATGGCATAAAAACCGGTATTTTGATAATGCGCTATGGTGACCTACCGGATTCGAAAGTTGCAAGGCAATTTACGTATCCTGTCACGCCCAAGAAAAGGTTACATGCCGAATAAAATTTCAGAAACGCAAAGTAAAACTCGAAACTGTGTGCAAAATTTCAGATGTTTTTTCATTTGTTTTCTATCTAATCGCAAAAAGTAACATCATTTTTTTCAATTCAATCGCAAAAGGTAACATCATTTTTTCCGATCCAATCACAAAAGTTAACATCATTTTATTCCAAACTGTGTCCTGTGAACATTGTTAAACGTAATTGAACGGGTTTTCCATACATATCTCAAACCTAAAAGTTAGTCCTTTGCTGCCAGGAACGAGTTGCTCGACTATTGTAACGTTTTTGAAAGTCCAGCAAATGCAGTTTTGCGACTGCAATTCCGTAGTCGAGAAGCAATTTTAGGTTGAGCACTAAATCAAAATATACCTCATTTGTGTCGAGAGAGCACAGTTTTTTCCAAGTTCAATTATTTATGAATTAAAAAATAAACGACAAACCGATAAATCAGATCGTGTAAAGTATAAAAGGTTTCTCAAAATTGCCTCAACATTCAAAGTTAGCCCATATAGATACGTAAATTGATTTAGAATGGATTAAGTGGATTTTTACGGTAGAAAAACAATCTACAGTGTATTTTATTGCATTAAAACGGATTCAAATCAATATAAACGGATTTTTACAAGGTGGCGAAAATCATCAAACTATCAACAAAATTGATCTTAACAGCTCCTGTTTTTTAAAACATGAGCAATCTTGTGTACTCAAGAAAATCGTCATCAGCGCTTCAGGGGGCAAAACTCACTCGAGGAGGTTTTTATACTGCAAACTATTGCGCTTTCAGTTTAAAAAGGTTCAAAAAAAAGATCCCGCGGTAATGAGAAGTGAAACTTTGCAAAGTTTGTTTAAATGTCTTTTTCTTTATCAACTTTCTGGACGGAATTAAAAAAAAAACCGTTTCACGATTTAATTTTTGGCAAATTAAGCAGGCTCCCTAAACTTAACATCTCAGTTTCACTCCATTAATTTTTAAAGCTCCTGCTAATGCGTTCTTGAAAACAAAAAACTGAAAATTTCACTTTGTCCCACTAGTTTCTTTTTAAGTTGCTCATCTGTATTTTTTGTAACTACTTTTCTCATCTCAATGATTAATTTTTTTAAGTTTTGCTCACGTCAAAATTTAACGGATAAGCAGTTAGTGTAAAATCATGAAGCAAATTTAAACCGTGAAGTGGATTATTTGGTTCAACTTAAATAACTAATCACGTTTTGAAAAAAAAATGTTAATGATTATAATCAGTTTTTCGTACTATTTACAATTAAGGCTCCAAGTGATTAGTAACAATTTTTAGTTATATAACCGCACGTTTTTTCCACAGTAATTAAACTGTAGGCGCGTGACTCTAATCAAAATGTACGAAGACATTTGAATTTTTATGCCATAACTGTACCTCCACGGAAAAACATAGCACTCAAAATCTAAATTGGGGATGCTCTGCCTCATTATAGTCCACAAGAACATATAAAATATTTTGAAAAAAAATGCGTTATGAAGATTTTCTTGTAACAAGGCTGGGGGGCTAAAAAGCCATGATCTTTCTAAGCTATCCTGCCACTCTCGCTTGGCCTTCCCCCTAACGCTATCAAAGCTTGATTTAAATAAACCTAAGCAGAACCCATTCTCAGAAAACAAAACTACAAAGAAAACACATGCAACCACAAATGGTAAAATTTGTTTTATTTTCTTGATGTAAAACCAAGCATTATGCAGATTTTTATAAGCTTTTAAAAATTACGTGATTAAACCTGTAAGAATTAGACATTTGTTTGACTCGCTTTGTTTTGTTTTGTTTTGTTTTGTTATAAAGCAATAAAAAATAAATGTGGTTAGTTTTTGATCTTATGCTTTCTTAATGCAAGCAAGCCATAATGACAAGCAAGCCATATACACTGAGTAACCACAGCAAACTAGCAAATCACATCACAATTTCTTTTATTTTTGTATAATCAATAACCAAACTCCAGTAAATTCAAACAGCAATTTTAATTTGCTTCAGTTTGTGATAATCTAACAAAAACTACGCAAACTCAGGTTAGATTAGATACCTTTTTATGTTATTCTTGATTTGTTTTTTTTTGTAATTTTTTGCGGGTTTTATATAGCGTGATATTTTTGGTTAATTGTTTTGTAGCTTTCTTCCGTTTTCATTTTTTTTGTGACTACGGTTGAAATCTCTACGTTAGGTTTTTGTTTTTGACGATGATTTAGCCTCAGTTGATCTAATATTGAACGGTTTTCAGCCAAACCATCCTGATTTTTTTCTCAATTTTTGAGTCATGCCAAAATGTAGCAACAGCCATGTGTTATTGGCCTGTGGGAGCTGAATCAGCTTTTGGCCAGTGTTTTTGTATGCCTAGTCATTTTTTGTAGTATCGCCCAGTCCCGCAGTGACAACAATTGATTGCAATTGGATTTATACAGATAACATAGCAAAAACTTGGTTTGCTCCACTAGTTTGATTCAAATCCATTTTTCTTAATTTCTTTTGTTGCATTTTCATAAGAACTTTAAAAACAATGAAATTTCAATATGAATATTTTCATCCCGTTTTTTGCTTGCGTGTTTTTTTTGTATTTTTTCTATAAAGATTACATTAAGAAACTGTAAAGATTAAATTCAAGTTTTCTCGACTATCTAACAATCGAAAAAATTGGGAACAAAATTATTATGCATAGTTTTCATAGTGTGTTGATGTTCGGCATAAAGGAAACTATGAGCATAACTAATAGGTATCTTTCTACATCAAAAATAATTATTTCTTATTTGAATTTTCTTCATTTTCTTCAAGTAGAAGTTCATTTGCCTAACAAAATGCACCTAAGCGGTTGACAATGAAAATGAATTTTGAAGAAAATTTTCTTAGTTTTACTTTTGATTACCGCGGGAACCTTTGGAGTTTCAAAATTCAAAAAGGAATCCACTAAGCTGCGAAATGAGAAATGTATCTAAATGTATTTAATTTTAAGAATCAGAAAATCCATTTAAGGCAATTTATATCATTTTCTTAGGTATTAAAACCCATTTTTCTACACCGTAAAATTCCGTTCAACTCTATTCTAATTTGAATAACGGACCTATTTAGGCTACCGTAAATTTATTTTCATGCAGCATACTATCTGTACAAATTATTTAAAAATCAATTTTGACAGTTTGGGGCAAATTTTTGTCCCTATAACGTTACGACTTGTGATCGGTAAAAAACTGACTCTTACAATTATTTCTTATCGTTCTCAGCTGGTACTTCTAACTGTAATCCTTTTGTGTGATCTCAAGAAGCGCGATCATATTGTAACGTGGCAATAAGATTCTAGGATGATTCCGTCCTTCTGCCTCCGAACACTTCTCTTAATTAGTTCTGTTTGCATAAAAGCATTGCCTATCTATTCATTGGCTCACCCATTTTCGCATACGCCACAGTAGTTGTTAAACACAATCATATCACCCCCTGCGTTCAAGAAATCCGCAGACTTTAGGCAAAACGTTTAATGCTGCTAGTAACACGATGCTGTTTGTAAGTTTAAGTGCCATTTTTCCATCTTTTGCAAGGTGTATTTAGCAACCTCTCGCGGATCTTTTGCCCTATCAGCCAATTGGCATCAGTACTCTCGCAATATTTCACTAAATAAAATCAAGTTGATTGATATTATCCAGAATCCACAAATATTTTGTCTTTGAGCACTTTCTTAAGGCGGTTCTGAAGTAATCTTTTATCAATCCTTGCAAACTGATTTTCGCAAAAATTAAATTCAAATTTTTTGCATTTCAAACGTTCAATTAACAAAATTCAAAACTAAATTTCAAAAAAGAAGTACACATATCAGTTTTTGCTGACATTTTGTCAATACAATTGACAATCAGCTTTATCTGTACGTTTATACAATACAAATTCAGCGAATCTTTGTTTAACCGAATCTTTTTTTGAAGCGTTTGTATCGGCACAAAATTTAACGAGTTTTTTTACATATAGCACCATGATATTGGTCCTTAGGTATTAGGTAAGACACTCAAATCGCTTACAATTAATTTTTTTGGGTAATATGCGTCATTTACTACAACAAAAAGCCAAACATTCATTTGTCAAAAGTGCGCTTCTCCAATGGCATACAAGGAAAAATTTCACACCTTACTATTTCAGACTTTACATGTCTTTCAAACCCATATCAGAAAACGCTGAAGTTGTTCAGCGAGAACGAGACAAAATCCTTGAATTGGTTAGACTATCAGTCAAGAACCGGACGGACTATTGCGAGCTTAACAATTATCTGCAGATATTTCAAACGAACGAAGACGAGAAGTACAAAAAAGAAATGAAAAAATTTTTCTACGAACATTACTCAGAAGCCTTATGGGCCGAATTTCTAGTCAACCTAGAACTTGAAGTCAAGAAAATTCGAAAAAAAGAACTGGGACAACTTGTTAATGGGACGCAAGAAATTGACGCACTTGAAAATTTCTTTCCGTCTCTGGAAAAGCTCATTCCTCTCATGAAAGGATGCCTTGAAGATAAACTATTCGATCCCGGAAAAATTCTAGGTGACATTTGGAAAACATTGAACAATCAGTATGAGCGGATCAGAGTAGTAAATATACACGAGAATGACTTTTTGCTGGCCTTGAAAAGCCATGTAAATTGTCTCCTGACAGAGCTCAACGCAAACAGTATCTCCGAAATTCCTCTCATACAAAACAGTCCGACAATTTCAGATCTTATCAAAAACATCAAGTCCATAACGTCTCCTTGCGCAAGTTCTGCGGAAACACAAAGCCACAATGCGCTGAGATCAAAAATGCACAAACTTCTAGTTGAAAACTCAGATCAATTCCGAACATCTTTCCAGAGAAATCTACTGGAACCACTAATGAATGAGTATCGTAGCCCGCCAGAAATTGAAATACTTGACAATGCAACTGACAAAGATCACAAGGTTCTCAAAGTGAACTGCTGCGGAATAAACATCAATCGACTAAAACAAGAGATGCAGAAAATAGATGTCACGCTTACCGAAACGCGCGTTTATGCCACGAATCTTTTCGTTGTTGACAGTGACTTCTCCGGTATCGGCGCAAACTTTACTGTATCTAGTCCCAAAATCAAAATTTTGCATCCAGAAACAGTTTTAGATGTCTCCGGCATTGATGCTTCTAACGCCTGCAACCCAGAAAAAGCCGAAGATGGAGCAAACCCCGGGGCTTCGGGAGCAGAGGGTGTCCACGGTTACCATGGGATGAGTGGGGGTAATGTGACTATTTGCTGTGACGAAATAGAAGGGGCAAGCAACTTGAAAATTATATCTAATGGGGGAAATGGGGGTGACGGTCAGAATGGCGGCAATGGTCGCGACGGAAAATCTGGTAAAGATGGCAAATCATTGAACTGCAAATCACAGAACGATTTTTTATCAAAATTTGGAAAACTAGAGTATATCGATGACGTGAAAAAATTGGCGTCAAATCTAAAACCATTCGAAATTGAATATGACGATAGTAGTTATTTTTTTGGTACGAAAAGCGATTTGTATTTTCAAGGCAAATACGAAAGCATGAAGACAACGTTAATTCACTATCGGTACCGGGGAAACCTGTGGTTTCGAACCTTGGTCCTTGTCAAAGGTTTGCCAGGCACTGATGGTTCACAGGGCGGAAATGCCGGTGCTGCTGGCGCTAAAGGAGAAGGCGGGTACCCTGGAATAGTCGAAATTTGTGGCTTAAAATCATCAAACTGTATAGGAAAGGAAGAACTAATGAAAAAGATTGAAGCATTCCCAGGAAAAGACGGCAAAGACGGATTTCCCGGAAAGCCTGGAAATGGAGGCCGAAATGGAAATAAAGGCGCGGACTGCGGACGCGTGGAAGCTAATAGAGAGCAGTTTGTATACTTTGGAGTTCTGGAACTTTATGATGACCTCAACGAGACCAAAAGGAGAGTTTGGTCTGGAAAATCCAAAAAGTACTTTGGAATTCAAGAAGTTGGAAAATGGCCGCTAGCGGATTTCTACAAAGAACATGGAAAAAAAGCTATACAACGATCCAACAAACGCCAGAAAGTTCGTAAAAGACTGATTGTCAGAAACGAAATAAACCAAGAAATGAAACAAGCCATGAAAAAGAGCCCACATGTAAAAATTGGAGCATTGTTTCAACAAGAACAGAAAGAAGAAGTTAAAGCTGAAGAGCATGTACAGGAAAACGAAGTAACCAAAACACATCGTATTCAAAGTGTCGGAGCTGAAGAAGTGAAACAAAAAATCAGTTTCACTGTTCCGAAAAAACGAAAAAAGCTCGAAGACAAAAACTTTATTGGTGTACCTCCGTTTAAAAAAGTCGAATACCAAAACACTGTATAGGTTAGAGCCAATTTTTTCAATTCTTTCCTTCCAATAGGAGTGTTACAATGTTTTTGTGCTCGTTGTAATTTTCTGCAAAAAATTCTTGTTTCTGACGGAAAAGATGTTGATTGAAGAGAAGATTGATTGTTGAACTGAAACTTCAAACCTAAAAATTTTTGGGGGTTCAGGAATTGCCAATTTTACCAATTTAGGATGGTGTTTTGTACTTAAAACTCCACAACGAAAACTTTAAAGTCGATACTGAAAAACACAATTTTTTGGTTTCGAAATGATCTTTATTAGCGAGCATTTTATTCCCGTGCAACGACAACAAACCTGCTCGCAATGCTGCAAAATTTTGGAGGTTTTTTGAAAGTTTTGGTAAATATTCATGTTCACACGCCATAGCAATTACAAAGGTTGTTAAACCTGTAGTAAACGTTATTTGAATAACTTAGCTTGTCTAATTTCATCCATGATTTGAAAATTCTGACGTAATCAATCGTCGCATCTGCTACGCGTTAATAGGAGATTGGCAATCAATATTTGTACCATCATACAGTTTCATAAAATTTTATGGACTAAACAATTGTATGAAAAAAAAACGAAGTTATTTTTCACACTACGAAACTTTTTATACGCATATTTTGCCACATTCTGCAAATAAATAACAAGCTTTGTGCTATACTTATTATCTCAAAAAAGTTTATTAACAAAGCAAAAACAAATTTTCGTACCATTAGTTTGTAATGCAATTTTTTTCCATACTATGAAAATGTATGATAAGCTTTTTTTCCGTCAATAAAAAAAATATCCTTTTTTGAAGTTTTGTATTCCAACCGAGAATTTTCGGTTACAAGAAAACCCAAATTTAACTGGCAGATACCACGCATTTGCTGTTATTAGACACCCAAAATAATATTAACATTTTCACACAGAACTATTTACCACAATTTTATTTTTTAATAATAGCTAGAAAACTTTTCTTCAAAAATTTTGGTGAGTGAGAAAAGAGGCCTGTTTTTCTACAAATTGATTTTTATCTTAGCATTTGAAAACAAAAAAAATTGTGTCTATAAAAAAATTGTTGCTTGTGATTTTTGGATTTTTTGGAGGAAAAAATCAATCTGGACTAGGTTATAGATACATATTATATGTTCTTGCATGGAAATATTTGTTTCCTAAAATGTATATTTGAGCACGGAAGCAAAATTTCAACCAAATAAAGATCTTAAAATATTCTATTTCTATGGATAATTCAACCTATACATTTTTCATAAGTGAACTCATATGATAAAATTGTTTTGTTCAAAAACTTCTGATTTTGATCCCACAGTTGATTTCATGTAATCAAAACTATCACTAGTTTGTTTGGTTTGAGTTTTGAACCAATTTAAGATAACTTTCGAGATAAAACTTTCAATTGAAAAAAGCCTATCATACAATTTTCTGCTTTGATAGGATCTTTTCCATAAACTCCATACATGAAATTGTATGAGAGACGCTTATCTTGTATGAATGTCAGTTCGGGATGGTGAAAATTTTCCGGATATCCAAAAAATAATATCAATATAAAAGAAAGACTGTTATGACTTTTATAATTTGGTTATTATGATTTTATTTTGATTACTTTTTTGATTATTATGATATTTGGTTGATTTGTTTTGTTTTAACTAAAATCATGAGTACGATTTCCAGTATTATGATTAATATGATAATTTGTATTAAAATTTTTTCCTTTTTTTACAATAACTATTATGGTTTTTTATGCTTAGCATTATGATTATTTTTAACAACCATGCCAAATTTAGTTTTTTTAGGGTATTTGGGGTTTTTGAAAACAAAAATTTTACATCTCTTTCATTTAGAAAGTAATCAAATTGAAAAAAAAAAATTGAAGGAGCAAACTTTTTTCAAGACTTCTTTCACAACTTATGAGCGACGCTTAAAGCAATGATATTTTTTATGATTATTGTTTTTAATATTTGAAGCAGGGGCGGATCTAGGATTTTCTCGAGGGGGGAGCGGATTTTTAAAAAAAGTTTTCGTAAAATTTGTCGAGCTTATTTTTTCTTTAGGTCGAGCATATTAATTTTTCGAGCTCTCCCAAAGCGCTAAAAAGACCCTGTTTTAGTTAAAAAGACCCTGCTATAAAAGATTTTTTATAAAATTTGAATTAGAATATTTTTAACTCCAAGCAGATCAGTCTACTCAGAGTTTTTTTTTCAATTAATATCTGAGGAGTATTTTTTCAGTTTTTGGTTTCTGAAGAAAATGTGGGTTTTTTGGGGGGAGGTACAACATGTTACGACACCAAGAACCGTCAACTGAATTGGCAGAAACAGACAGTGGTGAAGAAACAGACACTGCTAACGAGCCAATTGAGGAAAGTGATACGAAAAAGGCGTTAAAGTTTTTCAAATATCTTCTTCGTGAATCTAGCTTTCCCAGCAAGAACCATTCAAAAACACTGAACAAATTAATGCAACAGGAAAGCTTTAATAAACTCTCATTTCAGAACCGTAAAGAGAGAAAAAAGTTTTTGGCAAATGTAGATAAATTGCTTACTGTTATAGAAAAAGAACTTATCACAAAGTCATCGCCAGTTCAGAAAGAATTTTTACATGATTGCATTAAACATACATCTACGCTGTTGCACTACAATTTACCACCAGATAATACACAAGAAAGGCTGCTGCAATTTCAGCGTATTGCTTTTGAAAGATACAAACAAGATTGTACCATACAGATTCGACAAGACATTGAAAACATTGTCAGCGTCAAACCCAATGCGAATGAAAGTCCTTCAAAGGCTGTCGACTTTCAATTTTTCTGCGACAATTTAGTGCTGAAAAGTCTGGAACAAATATCGAACTGATTTTCGTTCACACCTTTAGTGGAGTCAAGCAAAGACAGCGAATCGGAGCACAGTGAAACTCCAGAGAGCCCTAAAGATTATCGGCAGCGGAGAAATACTCCCCGACAAAAACCTACAAAATTGACTGGTATTACAGGTTTGTGAAATTTTTATGAATTATCGTTGATTAAAAAATTGTTTTTCTAACAGTTTAAATAGTTTAAACTAACATGTTTTTCCAATTTCTTGCCCTTAATAATTTTCGTAACTCTACCCGTACTCAACAGAGGCTGTTTTTCTAGATAGAAATGTTATCTAGATTATCTAGCCAAACTTTCTTGTTTTTTTCTGTACAGAAATTATCTAATTCTTTTCTTACTTTAAAAATAAACAATTTCTGGAAAAAACATGCTTGAAGTTTACACAACAGCCGTAGCAATACGATGAAATTTAACACTTGTTATAACAAGTGTTGCTTTGCATTAGATTTCTAAAATTATTCGAAAGAATAAGATCATATGACCTAGCGGTTCGCACCACTGTCAATCCCATGGTAGGTCGGGCGTTGGGTCCCCATCTATAGATTTTGATTTTTTTTCTAGCCCTTAATAGTCTAGAATTAATTAATTTTGATCACTAAGATGAAAATTTAAAAATTTTTCGAAAACCCTTGCTTTATTTAAACACACAATAAAAAATTTTTGACCAAAAATTTATATTATATACAGAGTATTTCAAGTCAAGAAATAAAGATTTTTTTTTACAATTAAGTAAATTTAATAACTTAAATGCTAACTAATTATGGCTTTTGTAGCCGTTAAAGAAGATTTTTGTCAGGAAAAAGGTTTACCCTGTTTAACGCACGCCTAAAAAAGCCCTAGGTTAAAAATAAAAATAAGTACGACTATATTTAAAGATGCCGTGATATTCATTTGAAAATTGCTCCGAGAAAGGGATGGATATAGGGGAACGCTCCTTTATTTCAGTGTTTCGAACCCCTGTCAACCCAAAGTGTCCCCCCTTTGGTACGTTTTTGGGCAGTTTTCTGTCAAAATTTTCCAAAAAGTGCTGAAAAACGGCTTTTTTGGCTCTTTTCTTCAATCTGTCTGCGGCAAAGAAATGACAAATACGGTCTTCTCTTGTTATTGCACCACTCGGAAACTCAATTTGGTCGGCTTAAGAAAAAAGTTGACATTTTCATAAAATTTTTTCAAATTCGTCCCCTTCTCGAGAAAATCCTATATCCGCCTTTTCCCAAAAAGTCAGTCAGACTTTTTGACCAAATTGGCTTCTGTCGTTAAGATGAAAATCGCTAATTTCAAATAAGTTACAAATTTCCTGCTTTTTTGACTGGAAAAGGTTATAACGTTCATTGTAAAATGTTTCTCAGTTTTCAGAGATGATTTTATAAGCACTGATGAGATATGCTCGCTTTTTCCACCCGGTAGTTTTGTATCCAAAAATAGAAATACAAAAAAATCTGGCCATCAAGTTCCTTGAGTACTTTTTTACTGTCCTTATTCCTCGCTTTTTTTTTCAGTTGGTTGGTTGGATGTTTGTTTTTGAGGCAAAATTGACAACTCAATGAATTTTTTTTCGAAATTTCTACTGGACGGTTTGAGAGGGTAGAATGCTCGTACGATAGTTTTTCATTTACGGAACTTGATTCGTTCGAAAATTATATATTAATAAAAACTGCTCATATCAGGGCAAAGCTTTTAATGTTCCAGCCAGGGGCGGATCAGAGTTGTCTCGAGGTGGGGGGCGGTATTTTTTGTCGACAATTCTTTTATGCTGACCGAATTGATCTTCCAAGCTTTCACAAAGCACAAAAAAACACTGGGTTAGCCTTACTTTTGCGCAATAGGCTAATTTTTAAAAAGCAGGCCAAATGGCTTTTTTTGAAAATTCATAAGCACATTTCGAAAAACGTTGACAAAAAAGTGTTTTTTCTGGCGCGCGCTCTCGAGGAAGGCGCCTTTAGAAAAATTTTAGTGGTTATTCAGCCAAAAGATGAGGTCTCAAACAGGGGGAGGAGGAAGGGAAGATGAGGCGTTCGCTTAACCTTTCTGAAATCCGCTATAATAATTTTTTTAAAGAGACCACTGCTCCATAGGCCTTAAAAGGCAATTGGAATCATCCATCTGTCTTTGAAGGCTTATGGATCAGTGTTAGTTTTAAAAAAATGATTAAATTTTTTGTAAAACAATATTGATGAATTGATTTGCCTATAGCTTGAGTTGAAACGTATCAACTAAAATGAGCAAAATTCATATTCAATTTCCGATTTCGCGCCAAACAGGGAATCAAAATTCGATTAATTTAGAACACAGCATGAGTTTTTAATAGCTTAAGCTAAATTTTGTCCGAATTCTTGGTCGAAAAACTTTTTCCATGATTCAGCAGAGGCTTCTTATGTTATTAGAGCCAGAAAACCAAAAACATTGCCATGCGTACAAATGCCAGTAAACGGTCAATATTTTGGCTGTAGTAGTACTCAAATTTTTATCTTTATTCTTGTCATTAAAGATTTGTTTTTATTTTTCGAAGAAATTGACGAAATATTAGTTCGTCTTAAGACAGTGTTAGAGTTTTCAGTTTCGCAGTTTGAAAGACTTTTTAAAAGTCTATGGGTTAGTTTTCACTTAAAAAAAACGGATTTTAGTGCATTTAAAAAAAGTTTTATAGATATTTTGAAAATCATCCCCCACACGCAATGTAATGTACAAAATAATATTTGTTGCATATAACAAAGTATAAAGTACACCAAATAGCATGCCTCGAATTGAAATGATTTTTTTACGGATTAAGTCTCCTCGGGCGCTGATAGCACAATATATCGCGCTTTACTGGTCCCAAATTGGCCATCTTTTTTCACCCCCATTTTTTCACAAAAAATCATCAGGTGAAAAATTAATTTTTGATTTGAGCTCAGAAAAGCAATACTTTTCGAATGGTAGAATAATACGGTCAAAAAACGCTATTTAAAGCAAAACAAAGTTTGTATGCAGCAAAATCTTTGTCTGGAGCGCAAATATTCTTCGAAAGTCGGAGCAAAAAAAAAATTTCAGTTGAAATAATTTCATCCCAAGATGACGGGTGCTCGAAAAATGCCAAATTAGTATGATTATGATTTATTATTTACCAGTTTTCTCCTTATGCAAGCTTATCGGTTCAAATAATGCGTTATTAAATAAGAAACATTCTTACATGACATTGAGGGGAAAGATTTACAAAAAATTGGAAATTTTTTGGATCTTCATCATAGTTTAACAAATTGTTTTTTCTTCGAATTTTTTATCGTTAACCAAAAAATATGTTGGCTGTTAGAAATAATAATGAAGTCATGAAGTACTGGTCATGAAGTACTAGATTATGACACCTACTTGTGCAATGTTTAAGCGGTGTTGAAATTCTTTTTTAACCAGAGCAACATATTTCAGGAGACGACATCAATGAGATTGATCGCATCGGGGAACGATTTATAGCAGGTGCCAAATTGATCATAGAAAAACATTTGCTTGGAAAATCATCGCAGGGCAAAGAAACTGATGTTAACGGTGATGTTGATATAAATCCGGAAAAATTACACGGAAAACACATCTCACATGGTTTTTCGAATAGAGCATCTAAAAATATGTATTTCAAAACAAAGAGTTGAGCTGAAAATTGAGCTTTTTGGTTTTTTAAGAAGTATTCGATTTTTTTTTTAAAAAAACATTTAAAAACCGATGTACATATCATCACTAGCCTAAAATTTTTTCCGAAAAAACTTTAAGAGCTCTACCGCTTCTCAACATTCTTAAACAATAATTGAACTTGACTCTTTTTAATGATCAAAAAACACCATCGGAAGGACCGGCTGGTTAATTCACGGCCATTAAAACTTTACGGAATGTGAGTATAATTTTTGATCAAACATGGTTCATGTCATCCGGCTGGATTGGCACGAATATTATCAAGTATTCAAGTTTATATATAATTAATAAATAGTTAGTCAGAGACAGATGGATAGCCTTGACGATTAACAAAGATCATATGGCTGAGCGATACCGTTCAGTTGGTGCTGAATTCTTTTTCTATTCAAATGCTTTTCTAAAGCAGACTTCTATAGTATTCATTAGACAATCCGTTCAAATTCAATAACAGATAATATACTACGGTTTGACATGGCGCAGTCAGCAGCATATAAGAACCCGCGGACTATTCCACAATTTTGGCAGAAGGTATCAGTGGAACCGCCACTGGAATGGTCAAAAAGGGCGGCAATGATGGAAATGGTCGTGTTTGCCAAAGGTGGGATAGAGGTAAGAATTCTGTTAAAAACAAAACCTTTAGTCTTAGAACCAACTGAACTAACCTACGAGGTTGAAATCACTGCAGAAACTGGAGCACAGAAACGTAACAGAGATTACAGAAACCAAGAAAAACGAGTCACTTGTGTTAAAAATTAGGATAAAACGTCGGTAGGTTAGAACTGGATAAATTTAAACTAAGACTAATTTAAGACAATTTGAGTTAAGATTCCTACAATTTAGATGTAGGCTTTTATCTAAGACTAAATAAAAGACTAAGGTAACTAAGCTAAGTTAAGAGATAATAAAAAAGATTGAATTAAGAGTTAGTTTCGCAGGATTAGTTGCGAATCAAGATTAACAATGAACAATCTCTAGATCTACCAAAAGCCGTTGCGCTTTTGGCAGGTATTTTTAAATTAGCATGGCCATAGGTCATAACTTAATATAACTCAGAGGCCATAATGTTGGTATGAAACATCACATTTGACATTCCCTGCAAAAAATTCACTATAAAATTTTTTCGCCACAAAAAAGGAATGTTCGGACTCAGAATGGATATGAAGATATACTGTCGTAAATAGCCTCGCTTTAGGGCCCGAAGGGCGAGATGATAGCGCCTGAGTGGTTCAATCGAGAGTTTATCTCGCGGTAGCACCTGATGAGTGGGATACAAGCAAACTATACTATATGCTTTCGTCACACGACAAGAATGTTCCAATTCAGGGGGTTAAATGGGTACTCTAGTCGGCCAAAGCCCAACATTAGGACCCAGTAAATGAGATGATAACACCTGAATGAATGTAAGTTTATCCCGCGGTAGCACCCGATGGGTTAGATAAAGGTTTGCCAGTAACTAATTTATAATGTTTAATGACTCATGTTAAAATTTAAAGTAGCACAGAGATAACTCGATTTTGGCGTATTAGGCCGTAGTAGGGGTGAATCCATAAGTATAACTGCATCATAACGTTAAGCAACATAGCATCGCAAAAAAATTACTACGTTTAAGGAGTTACTGAATGGGAGATTTCCGAAAGTTTGAGTTTTAGTGCCAAGGTTACAGCTCCTCCACGGTTCTAAGCTGCGTCCCGGTTTGCGGCTCGATTGATCGTCCATCTTCTCAATTCATCAAGCGTCTTTGGTCGTCCTAAGAGTTCTATCGCCGAAATGATGGAGGGAGTTTAACCAGTCTGGATCGAGTACTATTGGTGTAGATATCGAATCAGTTGCTTCGTAGGGTAGGCCCGATGGGTAAAATTGGGTAGTGCGAACCTCAGGGCTGAATTTTACCTTCTTACCTGGGGTACTTGATTTAGATGTACCGCTCGGATGTTCGAAGCTTTCTTCTAACAAATCGACTGTCGTTGGCTGTAATGTCAATGGTGGTGTCAGGGGTGTTAGGTCTACCACGTCAATTGGTGACTCTCCATTTCGATAGTGGTTGCCTCAATCGTTGGGTAATATGGAGGGGTGTGAGTTCGATAAAGTGTTGGTACGTCTATAATCTCGTCTGATATGTCTACTACACTGGTGAACACTCTATCACCCAGCATCGTTGAGGCTGTCTAGCTCGCATGGGTCTGGCGTTGTGTCGTGCGTAAAAATCGGGCATTTTTTGTAAGGCGGTCCTTTCACCGGTGATGAGGCTTTTCTCTTTGCCATGCCGGACAATTTCGGTTTTGTCCTGGTAAAAGTAGGGTCTAGTTGTTGTTTCTCCGTTTCCGCGATTGCAACCGGTTCGGTAATTTTTTCAGTCGGTTCCGTTCTGGGGCTTTCCGGAGAAATTGGCAGTTCTTTGTCATCTTTGTCTGCTTCTTCGTGACTGTCCAGGAAGATTAGCGGTGAAGTTTGGTGGGAGGCTGTACTATTGTCCCCTGAGTCAAGATCAATCAGCGAAAACTCAGTCCTTTCTTTTTTCGGCTCGGCCTGGCTCGTGATTTCGGCTTCAAATTCTGCTCGGTCTGGTGATGGGATATCGGATGTCTTTTCTGGTTTTGTTAAGGTTTTGGTCTTTAACTCCTTTAGTGTAATTAGGTCGCGTTATCGTCTGATGAGTCTCCTGTTGTGTTGTTCGTCGCTCTGTGTTCATTTTCGCCAATTCCTGTATAGTTGGGTTTGCCCGGCGGGCTTGACTCGATGTCACTTTCGAGGCCAACTGGGAATCTCAGTTTTTTCCGTTGTTCTTCCTCCTTTCTAAGGAGCCTCCCTCTAGAACTGTTCATCGCCGCGTTCCGCCTCGCAATATCTAGCTCTTCAAATTTTGCTTGAATGTTTCTTTTCTTTTGAGTCATTCTTGAATTTTTGAAACCGACGTTTCTTTGAGGTTTCGTGATCTTTCTCAGTCCCTTTGTTGCGTAAAATTTGACTAAGTGATCTTTCTTTCTCGGGCTAGGTTTCTTCAGAGCAGGTTGATTTTTGATGGCTAAATCAGATTTACGTATTATTTTTCCATTTTTAGAGTAATTGTGTGGTCTGACTCCCTTACTATTCCCTCCTTGAGCTCTTTATAGAATGGTTCGCTTTTCAATCTATCTTGAACTTTTCTATATATAGTAGTCTAACCCGGCGGGTTGTTCAGCACTGAATTTTTAAAGCCCAAAGCGTCTCGTTTTTCGGCGCGAGAGAGCACTTTCACCGGGGAGCCGGCACTGGTTGGAACATATTTCAAAGCATTAGAGACATCATCTGAAGATGATAAGTTTTCGTCCTGATCTCCGTCTTCAATATCGTTGGGGTCGTCCCAGTCGTGTCTTCTTTCTCGACTCCTGAGTTTTCGGCCCTTATCTATGCCTAACAAGGTTTTGTTCCAATCAAGGTTATTTGAGGATAGTGACTTGACTAAATTATGCCAGATAGTATTTAGGGATCTACCAAAGTGTGCTTCGAAGGGGGAGCAGTTAAGCGACTGTTTTGTTACCGTTCTTTGGCATTTTATGATCTTCAATGATGCAGATTCTAGAGATGGTTTTGGGTGATCTTGAGCTATAACTAAGAGCCTTTCCTTAATGGTTCTAATTAACCGTTCGACTAATACCGTAGCTCTATGGTCACCCACTGGGCTAAAAATCACATTTATGTTATGTTCGTGGCAAAATTCTCTATCTTCTTTGGAGATAAAACCAGATCTCTGATCCGTTCTGATAGTTCTAGGTATCCCATGTAGAGCAATATATTTACTAAGAAAGTTTATGATAGATTTTGCCGATGTACTGGACGTTATTTGAGCAGAAGGGAATTTTGAAAATTTGTCCGTGCATACCAATATGTATTGTTTTGTTTCCCATAGTAGTGGCAACGGACCGGCAAAATGTAATTCCATTTCTTGGTTTGGTTCTTCGACCGTTGGCAGTTTTCCGAGGGTATTATGGTTTGAAAGAGTTTTCAGATTTTTACCTGCCTGCTTTAACACATTCAAAACAGTTTTCGCCGTGAACCTGGATCTCGCGATGAATTTTTAGCCACCAGATGTATTGAGTTACCAAACTTTTCATTGCGAACTGGCCTGGATGGGCTTCGTGTAATCGGTGAAGCATTGTCGATCTCAAGCATGCCGGGATAACTAATCGGTTGTCCAAATATAGACATTCTCCGCTAACTTGTAGATTTTTAATGTAAGATTTATAGTAATTTCCCAATTGTAGAATATCTTGTTTGCGGTCTTCTTCGATTACTTTAATTAATTTTTTCAGTACCAGATCTTGTTTTGATAATAAAGACATAAATTTCGAATCAAATTTTTCCGGTCAGGAGAATGGAAATAAGTTAATTTGGACTGTTTTCTTCTTACTAGGTGATCTTTATGAGGGATTATCCGATGGGTTGCTAGTACTTGATGTTAAAGTATTCGTGTTATCGGTGTTAGAATGTTCAATCTGTTCATTAAGTTCTAGTTGTTCGGCCATATCTTTCAGTGTTTTGTAGCTTCTAAAAAAAACGTTGATTTTGCAAGATGGATCGCAATTTTTTATAGGTGAGTAAGAGTTTTGGCACAATGAAATGTTAGAGTAATTAAATATAGCCTGGGAAAGTTTCAGCAGCATTCACAATTCGTTTCTCACGTTCTAGTTTTTGACAGGTCATATGATCTGTTGACTGGCCAATCGTATTGCAGTGTATTACGTCATGTGCTAGTACTTGTTGAGAGAATTTATTTCTTATTTGCGACCACGAATTTCTCGGCCTCAGATGATCAAAACCTAGGAGGGTACTAATTTGATTTACCGAGGCGATAATAATTTTTTCATCGTCGAGTGAAACTGGTACGGGTTCACCCGATGGGTGTCGGGATAGATATCAACAAATCCCATGTCTTT